AGCTCCTGTTATACACACACCTTTGGCTTTCTGCACGCTTGAAAGTTATTTGATGAAATTTAAGGAAGCGGTAAGATAAAATTATCCACTTGGATGCTGAATGGTGGAATTTACTTACAGAATTAAGCCCTTTAATCGCTCCCAGCCCAGCCGTGTCCCAGTTACCCAGTGGGCACGGCCGAGGGCCGGGGCGGGGGGCGTCTACAAAGCCCTTCAGCGGAGGGGGTCCTCGCCAGGGTCGCTGAGAAGCCACTCTGCCCCGCCCGTCACAAGAGCGAGGGGGGGAGGGGGGAGAAAAGAGGCCGGGGTCCGAGCTTCGCTCTGAGTGAGCTGGGTCTTCCTCACAGACGCACTGAGTCCACGGTCAGGATGCAGGGCAGCTGCAGCTCGGCGGGGCAGTGGGGGGGCAGGCCGAGGGGTGGCTGGGTTCTAGCTCCTTCCAGGCCACCAGGAAGTGCCAGAATGATCTCAGAAAAGCCCGAGTGAGAGCGTATCACACCCACCAGAGCCTTCCACGGCTCCTGGAAGAAAACCCAGACGCGTCACCCTGGACCCTGGGCTCACAGGGCCTCGGAGGGTCTCAAGGTGTTTCTGCCCACAGGGTCCGGGACCCAGCAGACGGGACACGAGCTCTAACCCTTCCTGGAAGGAATCACCCACACATTTGGCCTCAGGATTCCCACAGATCCGTCTTAACCAAATATGAGCTCACAACCAAAGACCTCTGGACATACAGGAGGGCAAAGTACCGTGAGTGAGAGCAGATGGACCCCAACAAAAACAAAGCAGCAGGATCAGGCCTGCAGACGCTGCAGCCACCGAAGGACATTCACCCCCAGTGCCGACCCGTCCTCTACCCAAACCCAGAGGCGGGAAAGCAGGCAGAGGAGAAGACCCTTCAGACGGACCAGGAGGTTTAATAAATAAAATTAAATAGAACGTCTGGAACCATATAGATGACGGAATAACGAACAATTCAGTAAGTGAACTAAGTACGAAAGTCGAGAAAATTAGCGCCGTGGAAACACAGATCTCTCTGAAAACAACACTGCGTTCAGCACAGAGGGGCGAGGAGGCTGACAGCGAGGAGGGAGGACAGAACAAATCTCAGCAGAGAAGAAACGTGTGGAAGGGGCATTTCTGGGAAAAGTGGCCGAGGCTCTCCCGTTGCCGATGGTAGACACGCTGTTGGGATCAGTGCATCACACGTGGGAAGGGAGGCGGCAAGGATGCCACACGTGGTAGAGACGGCATCGCGGACTCAGACGGGAGAAGCCACAGCGGCTCTGGAAAGGCTGCAGGCAGCGGGAGATGCACCGCCATCCACCGGGAGCACCCTTCAAGGATAAGGGTGAGGTAAAGGCCTGTGTGCGGAATAAACCTGGAAGGATCTTACCAGCAGCCGGATTCCTAAAGGATGTGCTTCAGGAATGAGAAACGTGGGCCAGGGAATGGAAGCACGCGTGAGAGGAGGCGGCTTCCCTCGCGAGGTTCAGGGAGAAACGGCCAGGACCCCGTGGGAGCGGCACCGAGGTGGGGTCGGAGTGAAACGACCCGAAACGTTCTTCCCGCGAGACCTGTGCGGGCTGGATGTGCGGTGATGCTGCTTGGGCGTTGGGGAGCATCCCGTCCTGCTCCGTCTTCTGGAAGACCACAGCACGGGTACCACTTATTCCCTGGATGTCAGGTGGACGCACCGAGAAGCCGTCTCGTTCTAAGGTTCTTTGTGGGAAAGGTTCACCTTCACATTGAATTTTCAGAAGGGACAGGGCTATTCAGGTTTTTTCCCGTGAGAGCTTGGGTGCTTTGTGTCTCTCCAGGGATTTGTGCATTTGTCCATGATTTTGGCTGTATCGGCACAAAGCTGCCCCGATGCTCTTTGCTATTCTTTCAACGTGCGTAGGATCTGGTGATGTCACCTCCCTCATAACTGACGGTGTGACTGTTTGCCCTCTCTTCCTCCTAATTAGTCTGGCTGGAGGTTTATTCATTTTACTGAGCTTCTCAAAGAACAAGATTTTGAGTTCATTAATATTCCGTATTCTCTTTTTCTAAAGGTTTTTTTTTTTTTTTGATGTGGACCATTTTTAAAGCCTTTATTGGATTTGTTACAATATTACTTCTGTTTTATGTTTTGATTGTTTGGCCCTGAGGCGTGTGGGATCTTAGCTCCCTGACCAGGGATCGCACCCCCTGCACTGGAAGGCGAAGCCTTAACCACTGGACCGCCAGCAAAGTCCCAGTATTGTCTTTCTCCTGTGTCACTGATTTCTGCTCTGACACATGTTATGTTCTCCTATTTCCTTTGGGTTTAATCTGCTCTTAGTTTCCTAAGGTGGAAGCTGAGGATGTGGACACCTTTTCCTGCTATAGGTTTTTAGTGCCCTAACCCCTCTTTTGCATGGCTTCAGCTGGGCCTCCGACTCCCCACCAAGTACCACAGATGTGGATATTTCGTGTTTTCATTTTCATTCACTTCAAAATGCTTTCTTATTTCCCTTTTGGTTTCTTCTTTGATTTGTGGCTTATTTCAAAGTGGTGATATTTAATCTCCAAATATTTGGAGATTTTCCCAGATCTGTTGATTTCTGACTTAATTCTACTGGGGCTAAAGAGCATAATTTGTATGACTTGAAGCATTTTAAATGTTGTTTAGGCTGGTTTTATGGCCCAGAATATTCTTTCTTGGTAAATGCTCTGTATGCTTTTTTTTTTTTTTTTTGCGGTACACGGGCCTCTCACTGTCGTGGCCTCTCCCGTTGCGGAGCACAGGCTCCGGACGCGCAGGCTCAGCGGCCATGGCTCACGGGCCCAGCCGCTCCGCGGCATGTGGGATCTTCCCGGACCGGGGCACGAACCCGCGTCCCCTGCATCGGCAGGCGGGCTCTCAACCACTGCGCCACCAGGGGAGCCCTCTGTATGCTCTTGAAAAGAATGTGTACACTTCTGAAGTTGGGTGGAGTGTCTGCAAATAGGTCACGTAGAGTGAAAGTGTTCAAGTCTCCTCTGTTCTTACAGAGATTTCCTAATACTTGTTCTATCAATTACTGAGATGGCATTGAAATCTCTTATAACTGTGGGCTCCACTATTTCTCCTTGCATTTCTAAACATTTTTGCTTAATATATTTTCAAGCTCTGTTATTGGGTACATAAACACTTAAGATTGTTATATCCTTTTGATGAACTGATACCTTTATTTTTATGAAAAGACTTTATTTCTTGGTAATATTATTTCTCTAAAATATATTTTTCCTGATGTTAACATGGTGGATCTTCTCTCAGTGTTTGATTTTAACCTGTGTTCTTGGGTCCTGCTTTTTTATTTGGTCTGGTAATCTCTGCCTTTTAGTTGGGGTGTCTAAACCACTTACATTTAATGTGATTATTACAAGCTGGGTTTAAGAGTAGTTTTGCTACTGTTTTCAACTCGTCCCAACTGTTCTCGCTCCTTTCCACATTGCCCTGCCTTCTCCTGCGCTGAGTGTTTCTGTCTTCCTTATTGGCTGTTTTGTTTCAGAGGCCACTTGTCTCTAACCCATCTCCATCCACCTGGGGTCATATCACATCTTCGCACCCAGTGCAAGAACCTCCCTGTGGGCCTTTGTGCTGTCACACATTTTACTGCTACATGTTATGAACCTCACAAAACATTGTTATTACTTTAGCTTTAAGTGGTTTGTTATTTTTTAGAGCGTTTAAATAAGAAAATAAGTCTGCACTTGCTCATGTGGTTGCTGTTTCCGAGGTTTCCCCTACTTTGTGCAGATCAGATTGGTACCTGCTGCCCTCATCCCTGATGGAAGGACTCCCTGAAACTTCTCACAGAGATTTGCTGTGATGAATTCTTCCAGCTTTTGGATGTCTGTAAATCCCATTTTAAAATGTATCCTGAGACATACCTTCAGTGGGTAAAGAATTCTAAGTCAGCAGCTTCTCTTCTAAAACACGGGTGGTGCATGCTAGCCGCTGACCTCTGGATGCAGTTCTTGGTCTGGCTTTGTGAGGACTCGTGGGAAGGACACACAGCCCTGACCCTGAGAACCGCCTCCAGACACCAGCCAGTGCCCAGCCGCCTCGGCTCCATGTTCTGCCCAGGGAGGGGCCCTTTGATGAACTTCTGGAGGCCATAGGCTGCCAGTGTAGACAACGCCGAGGAATGATCCCATCGATGAGAACGACGGGATTCAGAGCCAGGCACAGGGGCTGAGATGCTGACGTAAGTACAGGCCTCCTGTGTGTGCTCATGTGCCCACACACGGTGAGGACTGGCTCTCCGGAGCTAACCTCACTGAACGTGACTCGACCCCATCACCCTCCATATCTCGCCCTTCCCTGTCCTGTCAGTGAAAACGCCTTCCCACCCTGTTTCTCCCTCTGCGCTACCCAGGGCGTTTCTCTAACGAAACCCCATCCACCTGACCCCTCAGGAGTGTGATGACTTACACTTCGATACCAGACGCAGGCATTTTAAGAACAGTCCTGGCCTAAGAGATTCTTTAAATTTGCTCCTTTTAACAAACATAGAGAAAGACCACATCACACGTTCATTTCTGGGAATGGGGTAAATGCCAGCATCTGAAACCTTACGTGTTGTACCAGATCAAAAAAAGTGTTACAGCCAGAGAAATTTATTTTAAAATAGAAACATAACATACATTAAGCCTTAAAACAGTCAAATTTTAAACAAAAAGGAAAAAAGCCATTTGATCCCAGAGTCTGCACGGAATGGATTCAAAGAGGCGTCTGATATCCCCTCAAGGACTGTTTACAGACCCCGAGACGAAGTCCCCCGGGTGGGGGCAGGGCAGTGACAGCGCAGCCCCCGCCAGCACCGGACGCTCCCGCAGCCATGGTGACCAGACAGACGTCCACGCGGGCAGCGGCGACAGTGCTGCCAGCTCCTGTCGGACACAGCGTGACGGAACCCGGGGACGTGAGGGACATTCGGGGTTTTGGCAACGCAGGGGGCGTGATGTCTGGAAGTTCCACCAAAGCCTCCGCGCGGCTGCGAGCAGCCAGGGTCGGGCTCACTCTGCGTGGGGTTTCCGCTGGGGATTCCCCTCGTAGGACTCCCCGAACTCGTTCACTCTGCTCTTATCCACGGGATAAAGCCTGCAACGAGGCCACGCATGCGTCACGCCAGCTGGTTTGGACAGCTGCATGCGCGTGTCCTGGGCGCTCGACGGCCAAGACCCAGACGGTCGGTTCACCACGGGAGACGTGCGTGGTGTGGGTTTGCCCCGTGCCCTCCCGGTGTTCTTGTGACGGTCAGGCCAGAGCTCTGCTCTCGAGGCCGATGAGAGGACGAGGACAGGGATGCCCAAGGAGAGGCAAGGCTGGGACGCATCCACAGGGGACCTGACCCCGGGCCCCTGCTGTGCAGCACAGGGGCTGAGGCAGCTCCTCCGTCGGGCTCCGCTAAACAGCAGCTGCGAGCGACCCTCGCGCCGCAGGAGAGCCGTGTGCTCGAGGGGCGATCAAATCAGACAGAAGCAGCACTCCGGCACCCAGGTGCCAGGCACCACCCGCCATCCGCAAATCTCTCCCCGCAGGACCAGGCATGGGTCTGCGGCCCGAGCGAGTCCACTGGGGCAGCAGTGCCTCAGGCCAGCACTCACCATCGCTGGTAAAGGTACACGAGAAACACCACGTCGTCCCTGAAGCAGGCCAGCCGGTGGGAGGTGGGCATGGTGATGATGAAGGCGAACACGTCATCAATGAAGGTGTTGAAGGCCTGCGGGCAGGCGGGCGAGGCTGTGGGACAGGGCCCCAGCACCCACCCGGACCACCCAGGCACGCGGTCATGTCCCTGCACTTGCGCCACCCAGTGACCTCAGAGCCACCCCACGAAGCAGGAGCCAGCTCGGGGGGGGCGGGAGAGGCTGACGCCCAGGGTACCCCCTCGCACAGACCCCAGGGCCCAGCATCCCACCTGCTCTCCGCACGCGGGACCCAGGAGCACCACCTGGGAGCCTGGCTATCACGGTGCCGGCCTGCCCGAGAACGGCCAACCGGTTCTGAAGACAGAAGCACGTTCTAACCATTCCCCCACCCCAAAGCCGCTCGCTCTAGTTCACAGCCAACAGTGCCGGAGGGCCGTGTGGTCCCCGCCTGTGCGTGTGGGACAGGCCACGATGCACCAAGACAGCCCTCGGCCAGCCCGGCCCTGGGAAACAGGACGCGCCGTCTGCGTGGACACAGAGACAGCACCCCAGACACTGGCCACCGGGTCAAGGTCATCTGCCTGCTCTTTGATTCGTGTTGGCAAGCAGCAGCACGGCTCTAACTCGGAGAACACCTCGTGCCGCTGTGACAGAGAAGCCTAGCCTTTCAGAGTCGCCGC